ATTTTTAATACAGTACACAAAAGTATTCAGCCATTTTAAACTACAGGAATCCCTAGATTATTACAGATAATGTGTACATCAGTTACTAAAAGAAAATCAATTTTGAATTACTATGGTTAAACTGAAGAATGCTTTACTACAATAATTGAGTGTTATGTATCGAATTTTGGTATATAAAAATTGTAGTGCAATAGCAGAAAATGCATTAATTGAATACACATTAACTGAGGGATGCCTGTAGTTTTTCTACCATCTAAAATGTTGTAGCATACCTATGGATGATAATGGGTATGTCCCCATTCACATAAGTACAGTAGTAAATACTGTATGTTGGTCTGCAGTTGGAGATTCATCTCCAGCTGTGCTGGTCAAACTCTCTGCCTTTGGGAAGTGAGGATCCTCAGAAAAGGCTATGTGAAAGGGTAGAGATTTATCTCAGAAAGCAGCAACCTGACCCCATTTTATACGGGGTCTACAGGGAATTTTTGGCCGAGAATACGAGCTCGGATACGCCACATTAAATTCGGCCTTCTTCCACATCTGACCATGTGGGGCAGTTGGTAGATATCCTGCAGTTGGAGATTCATTGTGGAATTCACTTGACTCACTTCTAGCAGTTGACTACTTCTACACATTGCTGACGAATCTTAAATGTGTTGTTCTTGTCCTAAGTATTACCTTTCATTACCAAACTTCGTGTGATTATTCTATTCAGTAACCTTCCCTAGGTTACAACATAAACATTTTGATTTTCTCTTTCCAGTACTGTTATGAAAATATATTGTACATATTAGCAGTAGAACCTCCTGGGCATGATGATAAACTACATCTAGGAGCAAGGCCTCTGATCGGGAGGTTTTGAGGAGCGTGGAACCACCTCTGAATTGCTGTTGTTCCCAGGTCCATCCTGACTTGGGGTGGTAGCACCTGTTAAGGTCCCAGATATGAGCAAATGTTGAACTTCCAAATTGGGGTAAAAAAACTGAAAGTATAGATTTAAGAAAAAAAATAAAAGAATAAATTGCCAGTGATAGAAAGAAAAAAAAATACTCAAGCTCCCAAGAAAATTAAATTAAATGATCCATAAGGAGTTGATATGCTATTAAACAAACATACATTAGCAGTAGAACATCTAATATCAAAAGGCTTATGGCCATATCACATTGAAACACTGTTTTGACCACCAAAGTTAAGCAACATCAAACCAACCTGATGAGTACCTAGATGAGTGACCATTTGGGATTACCAGGAGCTGTAAGCTTGGATGTATGGGTGGTGTAAGCGTTAACAGCTTGGAATTGAAAATCGGATAGCTGAGTTCATTAAGTCCACTTTCACTTGAGAAAGGTATGAATCCAGCCCTTCTCCTCCCATCAATGTGTTAATTAGTATGACATGTATCAGTAAATCATTATTATATACCCAAGATTCTTACAATCTAAAAATATTTTCTAATTTTAAATAACCTGCAAATTACCACTGGACTCATCCAACTCTTTCCAATTCCTCTGCACTGTCCTCAAATTGACACCCAAAAATGTTAATATTGGAGCTTCTGGCATGAATGCCAAGTAGTATAACATCCTGTTTCTAAATTTCTGGTGACATGAATTGCATCATGGTGCTCTTTTTCTCACAGATGTTGCCCAACTGACCCTACTATACTGTGTAGTTGACAAAATCAAAAACAAACAACACACATGTGCAAAATTAAAAATATAAAGTGGTGACACTTTACCTATTGGACCCTGTTGAATTTGTACAAATATAAACTTTGCCACTTAGCTTATTGGTGTTACCTGAAGCATTCTGACTCTAGATTTTTACAGATGAACTTTCCATCACTCACTCTGTCCACTCACTCCTCAAGGGATATCATCAATTGACTGTTTATGCTTCTCGTTTTTCTTATATATACACTTTTCATTAGTGCAAGGTTGATTTTTTTTCTTTTCCTTCATAATGTATGTGTATATGTGTACTATCAAAGTTTCAAGGTATTGGAAGTGTTTTGAAATGGTCAATTTGAAATGCTACAGCAAAGAACATTGCAATCTGATTGATGGATGAAAACAACTTTTCCAATTTGGTGTCAGTAGATATCACGCAAAGCATAACAAAGTAAGCTCGTTGCAGCTATGAAACCAACATTTAACAAAAAGCATTAGAAGTCAAGATTAAATTGCTTAAAGAGTTATGAGATGCCAATGCTTGGAATAAAATCCCATTCAGTAAACAAACTAAGAACTGTATTCTAATAAACAAGAATTTTTAAGGCCTCCAGGAAAATAATTTTATTTAGTTAATCCATTTTTGTACAACTGTGGTCACCATTCCCCTCCATCTCATAATTGTGGTTCACGGTGACAATCAGTGACTTGCTGGTTTCTTTTGCACCAGAGATGTTGAAGTTACCCTGTCCCTCCTTTCAGATGTGGAATTGTTTTTAAAGTTACCTTCTGCTAGCCTTTGCCTAAAGAGACAGGACCTACAAGGCAGTAGACAGTTTGAATTTAGTTTCCTTTTTCTAGACTGGTTGCCACCCAAGGCTGTAGGACCCAGTCTATTCTGTTATTTTACCCATAGCTGTGGAGAGATACCTTTCTCAAGGGTATTAGCACATAAGTGAATGTAATGAACTCAAGTGAAATTTGAACACAGTTTTCTGATTCCTCAATCTGTGCTACAAACCATGCTTCTATTCACATTACAGTCAAGTTTTGCATAAGAGTCTGATGCTTTGGGACTGCATAAAGGGACAGTTCAAGAAAGTTAGTTAACATTAAGAGACCTATTAAAGAAAAATGTACCACTCCGTAGTTTTATCATGTGAAAGCATATTTTAACTATATGTGCTTTACCATTTGGCCATGGAAGCCTGTACGGCAAAGCAAGACTCCATTGCCCATTTTATGAAAGGTACATCTTTCATTTGGACCTTCAAAGTTTATACATGCTTAATATATTTTCATACCTGAAATCAAACCTACATTCCCTTTATGCTAGGAAACTAACTCAGGTGTGCTTTACCATTTGGCCATGGAAGGTTCAATTACCCATCTTATGAAATGCTCATAAAAAAATAATGTTTATATTAATAAAAATAAAATTGGATTAAAATCCATTAATGTTTTTTTTACATTGATGTTCACCTTGTACAAGGCCCAAGAGCCACACAAGGTAGAGAGTTACAGAGTAAGAGGAACAGTTTATGCGGATAAATGATGTGGGGAAGATAACCATTAACCCTAGACTTACTTAAACTACAGATATATTTGTATGTCAAATATATGCATATGTTTTCAAATGTATATGTGGGGGTGTATATGTACAGATGTGTAACCTTTTTTTAAAGTTAGAAACAGCATGAAGTCAAAAAGCTTACCAATTAAAATGTAGCGTCTGAATAAAAACAAATGAAAATATGAGAGATAACAATTCATAATCTTAAGACTGAACAATCAGGAATTGGCAAGGAGGTTCCCAACTAGTGTCCAGTTGGCAGACAAAAATAAAGTGGGTTGTAACTTAATACATTCTCCCAGATATTTACATAGCCAATGGTGGAGTAGAAGTTGTGCTGGGGATAGCCCGATGGTTTGGATGGGAGTATTCCTGTATTGAAGGATAGCCCGTGCTGCTTGATCATTATCCAAGGATCCTTGGATTCCTGTCTTGCTATGTAGTATCCATTTGGCAAATTTGACAACTAGCTATGCTCAGGCATTGGATTGAGGATATGCACCTACTAACTTGACCAGGGGAACAGCTCTGTCAATCAGACTCAACTTCCACTACATTTAAGTACTGTCTGTTGCTATTACCAAATTCTACATTTGCTCAGTAAGACTCAGCTTCTATTACAGTTGAGTATTATCATTTGCTACTACCAAACTCTACTAAGACAACACATAATCTTGGGTATTCAGACAACACAAGGAAGGTCAGAAAACACACTAGTTGAAATGAGATGATGAAAATAAAGATGAGGATATTAGTCTGAATAAGTAATGGAATAAAGAATGTCAATGAACACTGGTAGTGCTACAATAAAAAAAAACAAAAACAACAGAGGTGTGGCTAATAGATGAATTTATCTGATCCTAGTTTTTATTTGGTTTAGAATCTTTCATTCAAGTATTTCCATGACCATTTAGTTCAAATGTAGCCCCATGGGGGAGTGGAGGTAATTAATAATCAAGATCTATAAACGAGATAAGTCTCTTCATGTTTATGGTGCACCTGTCAATATAAATCTTATTGCTAGAAATATTTTGAATTTATTTACCTTTGGGAACAAGTGGTCAACATTACTTTATGAAACTTAATAAAAACAGACCAAGCTTTTGACAGCTTAAATCCTGCCAACACTGAAGACATATGTTACTTTATGTATTTTTTATGGTCTTTAAATCTTTCTGTTTGACTATCTAAACAGTCAGCTGCATACAACCGCTTTCTCACATCGATGGTTGAAAAAGGCATTGAACGAGTGAAGCTTGAGGATCTTGGCAAAGGTCGTTCTTCTTTGGACATTGTCAACTGGCATTACAGATTCACAAACAAAAGACTGTACCAAATAACAGAAACCACATCACTTGAGGACTTTCAACAGCAGCAACAACTAAAATGGATAGCATATGCAATTTAAAGAGAAAATAAGAACATAATCAAGATGTTGACATTACACACTACTTCAAATAAAAGGTCAGGAAGGACCCTCTTCCATCAATAATGGAAAGAGCAATAACAGCTACTGAACATGAAAAGCTTATTTTTCTGGAAGATTGGTTTTTTTTTTTAATTTTATAAATTTATTTTATAAATTTCAACTAAAGGCAGTACTAGCTACTTGGCCATTGAATATTTCTTTCTAAGGGAACAGTTAATAATGCTATTACCATTGATATTCTACTAGTTTGTCTACTTGTCTGCCTCAATTCTGCTTTGATTCTGACCATCCCTTCCATGATCTGTCCCTGTTTCCATATCTCCAACAGTCAGTTCATGCCTCTGTCTCCCCAACAATTTATTCATACCTCTGTGTCTCTCACAGTCTGATCATGCCTCTGTGTTTCTCTGTTCTTTTTCTCTTCTTCTCAATGTCTGTCTGTGCCTCCCACAGTCAGTCTATGCTGCCCTCAAACTGTCCATCTCTCCTATACTCTATCTGTTCCTCTCTGTGAGTCAAGGTCTGTCCAGGCCTCCATGTCTCCCACAATCTATGCCTCCCATGGTTTTTTTACATCTCAGTTTCTTCATAATCCTATCTGTAGATCCCCATCTGTTTACTGATAAGTTTTTCAGTTTGTTCAATAACTTCATTGTATAATGACCTGCAGTAATACAAACTCTACTGCTACATGAGTTTTCTAGATGATAATCATTTCTATTCTCGGTATATCAGTGTTGTACAGTGGTTAACAAGACTATGATTATTCTAGTATTTGGTTCTCACCAACAGGCTCACTTTTGTGGCCTTTTAGCAGACTAGGCTAAACTGAGTAACTACTTATCTCAGTCAGATTCATATCTGTATCTTCAAATCTGCTCATTAAAACGTTCATATTTTACACTTTAATCCAAATGTCAAAATCTTTTGAGATTTTTTTCACTTATCTCTCTTCAACTCAATTATGCTTCAAGGCTGCTTTCTCCTTAAGTCTTGCCTGGTCTTATCTCATCTTTCAATTAAATTGCTTATAGACACCATGGCAACTTGCGACCAAGATTATAGTAAGGTTAATTACATACTTATCCCAAAGAGAGCCTTGCCCCAAACCAAAAAGACATCTGTAGACAATTTGGTGCAGAATATTTTAATCAAATAGCTATACATATGGCTAAGACTTTTATTTCAATAAAGAGATTTAACCCTATCCATAAAAGCTAACCTTGTTGCTTTCCATTAACACTGCTAAACCACTCATCTATGACAACTAAATATTTGTTTCAAAGAAATTAAGAAATCAGAGAGCTGAGTTCAAATTCCAGTCAGGTTCATTACATTCACTTACAAACAAATACTCTTGAGAAAGGTATGAATCCATCTCTACCCCCAAGTTATGGGTTAAATAATAGGATGTATCTGTAAAAATCATTGTCATTCTCAAAAAATTGTTAATACAGTATTCACTCACAAAATAAAAAAAATAGTTATTCTTACAATCTAAGATAAGTTTGAACTTTAAAGAACCCACAAAGAAATTAGGGCAATGTTTAATCTTCAGTCTCACAAAAAAAAAATGATGTGTCAAAAGAATAGGTTTTCTTTTGACACTGCTATTATTTTAACTACCTTCACTCCTCAGCAAAGTTAAGTGAATTTTAATAAAACCTAAACATATCAAAGTGAATTTAGACATTTTCTTCGTTCTTGAAAATTGGCAACAAAAATAATAAACACTATTAGATTGTTTGTTTCCACTATTTATTTATTGTTTAGTGAAATAATTAGCAAAACACTGGTTAATTGCCAATTGATTTAAACTTTATAAAATGATAAATAATAAGGATTTCCTTATAGTTGGTTCATATATTTTAATAATTTAATAAATGTTTATAAATTTATGACTAAAAAAAATTTTCATATTTATTTCTTTTTAAATTATAAATGATAAATATTGCATCGCATTAATTTTAATACAATTGTATTAGTTTTAAGAATGTTGTAAATATAAAATTATTCTTGTAAATAAACAATCTAATAAAAAAATAGTGTTTTATATTTTTGTTGTAAATTGTCGAGAAAAAAATGTATAAATTTATGTTTATCATATGTTTAGGTTTTATTACAATTCTAATCATTCTAATCAATTCTAATAAACATTGCCGAGGAGTGAAGGTAATTAAAACAATAGCAGTGTCAAGGAAAAAGCTTAATTTTGTCACTGTTTTTTTGCAGGCACCAAGGTGTTACATTTCCAAAGTTACATTCAATTTTTTGTATATCATTCAAGGAAAATGATTGTAAGAAATCTTGCAAAATAGTTAGAGATTTGAAAGGTTTAATGAAAAGAGTGCATAGCAGAATCAAAGTGTAAATAGGACACGAACAGTGTGGGTTCATCAAAGACACTGGAACAAGGAATGCAATATTTGTGCTCAGAATGATATCAGAAAGAGCAATAAAAATGAAGAACCTGTGTTTTACATATTATTCAAAAGTGTTTGATAAAGTACGTCACAGAAAACAGTTGGAGTTGCTAGGTAACCTGACATATTTGGGAAGTGTATTTGAATAATCCAGAACGTAGACTGGCGGCAAACTGCCTGCATATAGAAAGAAAATGAATTCAGTAAATATACAAAAACAGAAAGGAGTGTAAGACAAGGATGTGCCTTCTCGCCAGACTTATTCTACCTATACAATGAGGCAATACTGAGAGAATATGAATCCTAGCAGGGTTCATTCAAGGAAAATAATTGAAAGAAATCTTGCAAAATAGTTAGAGATTTGAAAGGTTTAATGAAAAGAGTGCATAGCAGAATCAAAGTGTAAATAGGACAAGAACAGTGTGGGTTCATCAAAGACACTGGAACAAAAAATACAATATTTATACTCAGAATATTATCAGAAAGAGCAATACAAATGCAGAAGGACATGTATCTTTGTTTATAGATTATGCAGGCATTCAATAAAGTACCCCACAGATATCTTTTGGAACTGCTTAGCAACCTTGACATATTTAGGAAGGATATTAGAATAATCTAGAATCTATACTGTCAGCAAACTGCCTGTATATTAATAGATAATAAGTTCAGCAGATATACAGCAATAGAAAGGTGTGTAAGACAAGGATGTGCCTTCTCAACCTAAACAGCAAGGTGATTCTAAGAGAATTAGAATTCCTACCAGGATTCATTATTGGCAGCAATAATCTTAATCAACATAAGATATGCAAATGCCACAGTGTTGATAACAGACATGGGAAGAAAACTACAAAAAACCCTACGGAATTTGTGAAGGAAAGCAAGAAGAAAGGATTGAGCATCAAGTAGACAGAATGCATGGTTGTTAGAAATGGATACTAAAATCAAACAAGTACTACAATTTAAATATCTAGGAAGTGTGGAACTGAAATTCAAAGGTGCAATGGGATAACAAAAGATGTATTTCAAAAGGTAAGCCGAGTATTAAGAAAATAATAAAAGAAAAGTATAAAAATAACTTTGCAAGAAACATGGAAAAGAGTACTAAACTTTTACATGATATCCGTTTTTCTGTATTGTCAAATAGTCACACTTGACAATCTCCAAAAAGATGACAAAGAGATTTGAAGCAACAGAAATGTGGCTCTACAGAAGGTTGCTAAGGAGTCCATGAATCAATTATGTGAGCAACGATGAAGTTCTAGATAAAATGGAAACAAAAAGGAAACTTATAAACAGCATCAGGAAGAGATAGTTGAAATTTCTGAGGCAAATAATGAGGAATACAGGCTTTGAAAATCTGATACTCACAGGACAGAATGAAGGCAAGAGGGACAGAGGAAAGCAATGCATAACATACATAATGAGTTTGAGTAAATGGATGGCAGCACAGGGTTTGGGAGAAATAGCAAAAAGACAAAATTTATTATAAACTAAAAAGGACAGGAAGTAGTGGAGAGCCTTGACCGCCTACTTCCTGGGGGGACATGGCACATAAAGAAGAACAAGAATGCTCAAGATGTTCATCATTAAGACTTGCATAAAATGGTAATAATTCCAATGCTGCAATTAACCTTTGGAAGAAAATTATTAAAACTTTCAGGAACTGATGATATAAATATATACAATACCTTGTCCTTGAGTTTTGTAAAAGCAAGTAGCAGAAGAAGCAAGGTGCATTATGCAGGTGGTTTGGGCTTAAATATACAAAGGAAGTAATCTGGGTCAGCTGACTATTTTTTTTTGTTTGGTACAAGTATCCTTAACATCAAGAAATTCAAAGAAAATAAGACATCTGAGTGACTTTTCAAATACAATAGGTTAACATGACTCACAAATTTAATAGCAGAAGCTGAAACCTTATTTTATTATATAGATGTTGACCTCTACCTCTTACCAAGTTAGCTATTCAAGTAGGCATATATATATATATATATATATATATATATATATATATATATATATATATGTGTGTGTGTGAAAATATATAGAAAATAGGAAAGAACTCATTAGGTAAATAATCCAAAGTTCTTTAGTATTTTAGTTATTATTTTTTTTAAAAATAGTGCTCGATAAAATGGAAAATTATAAACAAAACTAGAACTTGTAAAACTTGGGATGACCCATGCCCTTTATGCCGACATGAAAAACTACACATTATTAAGTTTCTAAATAATAAAAATCTATTAAACAATAGACATGAGTTAACGGTTTTTGCCGACATCATCAAATTTTTGCATTGAATAATCAACATAAAAACAAACAAACAATAAAATAATTTTTAAAATCCATAGTCCTAATAAACAGTTTAAATACCCTACAAAAAAAGATAACCCTTTATGAAGTCATCAAAAAACAAATGTTATGGCAGTTTTTTTTTTATATATATACACAAAACCCTTTCAGAAAAAAATAAAATAAAAAAATAAATAAATCTCCATAGGGCAGTTTCCTCACACCAAAACAAGGACAAAACTCCATATAAACCTATGTCTTCAAATCCTTTGTTTTTGAGTTATTAAGTTTAAAGAAAGTTTACAGTAGATGGCGCTTCGTTGCCATGAGGATGAGGTTACATTTGTCATTCATGTACATTTGCGGCTAGTCTGATTCAACATTTAGCATGTGTAGTAGTGAGTTAACTGAGAAGTGTTCCATTAAACAATGGCAGGGTATTCATATCATGAGCAGGCAGATATGATTTTTACTTATGGCTGCATGAATGGTAATGGACATGAGGCTGCATAGCTGTATCAGATTGTGTTTCCAGATGGAAGGCAGCTGTGTCATCCAACATTTGCTGCTGTTTATCGTTGTGTTGCTAAAACAGGATCCATGGCACCACAAACTATGGATGAAGGAAGACTGAAATCCACTCATAAGCATGTCCATGAAGAATATTCTACAGGCTGTCAAAGATGATCCAGGTATCAGCACACATCAAGTGGCCCCTAGCATGTCATACATCTCATAGTACCACATGGAGGTTACTTCAAGGGCAGCTCAAGATGTTTGATACACCCTGTATATATATATATATATATATATATATATATATATATATATATATATATGGAATGTATATAATGTGTGTGACTGGGTTCTATAGCTTTGGATGGC